TTCGCACAGACTGTTAATTAATTCAAATCAGTAAGCGGTTTTGCATTTATGCACTACATTGTACTGTAACATTATCATGCAGCTCTGGTGCGACTACGCCGCGTAAATCTTAAAAAGTGACATGTGCAGGCACTGTTCTTACTACGTTCGTTGCAAACATTTTCTCAGTTCTTTAATTCATCAATTAAATAGCCGATAACCTATTGAAGGTCATAATAAGTAAAGCAGGGCAACTGAGAATCTACTTATTATGCACTGGAATATTACTCACACATACTAATGAATAATCTACGCCATATCAATGCATTTATGTTGCTTGAAACAAGTGATTTTAAGACAACTGAAAAATGATCGAGTGATTTCAGCTGTTGCAAAGATTAAACCTGACCCTGTCGTGAAGTAGCAGATCTGTAAGCAAGTGAAAATGGAGCGCGCGTTGCTGAGCTATGACGAAACCCTGCTCCATTGGGAAAACGTTCCATAACAACCTGGTGGATCAATTACGTAACATTGATCATTAAACTTCACACTCCCCATGATTACCATTTTTCCATTTTTCCGACACAATGACGCGAACTTCAACCACATCCGCCTCATGTCATCTGGCGAAAGAACCAATGAACGCACTTGAAGGAACTTCTGCCAGTCTTCCACGGTCCGCTGGCATTCCTAAATGCTTCCTCTTGCACGACAATATCCTAACAACTGATGACCTCCAACGGGAACACACCACACCTGCAATCTCTTCCACCACATCTGACAAATCAGAGGCCGCTTTTCGGGCATCATCTTATAATGCATTGTCTCTTCGACCTCGCTTAGCATCTGCACAATTACCATAGTATCGTATGCCCTGCTGTAGCTTTCTGCAGCCCTGAATTACTAACTGGTAAACGTTATATCAAAGAATCACTTACATAGCGGTGAGTTCGGTATCGATCACGTCGCGCGCCTCTTCCAGGTACTTTTCCGCGGCGGCATATCTCCCTTGATGAACAGCGAGAACTGCATTGTAGAAGCAGCTATCTAAGCTGTTGACATTAATATGACGAACGTACTCCTCCATAGCGTCCCAGAGACCTAAAAAAAACAATTCGAAATGCATCCGCAATCCATTAGCAAGAAATAAGCTGAAAAGAACGCTGACTAAAGTAAGGAGAAAAGTGCACCTTTCGCGCACTATTAGGTCTCAGACACAGACGGTAGCACCACGCTTCTGTCTGAAGACAGAGAATACGCTATTTTCGTACTTAAGTAGAAGCAACGTTCAATGTATTGCAAAGCTATAGTAGTTTTCAACACTGTAAATTAAAATGACAGCGTCGACCGTGCAATACTGACAGATGAAACTGATTACAACGAATGGTCCAGCAAAAATGAATAAATACGAAACATCGCGGAAACGGGGATTTTGTCGAGGGAAAGTATGATGCTTCCGAACAAATCAGCAAGTCAAACATGTGAGTATGAAATAAGCCACAAATCGCTGAAAAACAGCCGTAGCAAACAATGCAAGGCAATGTCACGAGAGAGCGGCTGCGGAAATTTAGCTGTTGACGAGTATTTCACCAAAATGTAGAGTAAAGATTGATAACAGCATGACACGACGAGGGCGTACCGGCAATAAATGTGCCTGCTACTGAATCCAAAAAACAACCGCTGTTATGAAGTCTGACTAATAAACGCGAGCAGTTGCCAGATCATTCGTTACCGCAATGGCACTGTTTCGGGTCATGCGCCAAGTAGCATATTTTTATCGCATTACTTGACAGTTAACTTGTCAAGTCGAGCTAATGATTAGGACCAAGCTAGCAAAGTACTGAACATCAAGTTAGCATTTTCATCAACTTCTCTCAAACATTTGACAGTTAATTGACCAACGCTTGCTTAATTCCGTTGTTCTTCCATTCTAGGTTATATATTATATACCCGTTATTAGGTTCGTGCTTAAGTTTCTGTTTTAAATGTCAAAAAACAAAATGCTTCTGCGCAGTCATTTTAGAAGTGAATTTTCAAATTTATAATCTCGTATCTAATCATGGAGAATTTATTATTAAGGATGGTCAATGTGCTCATCGCAATTAAACATGAGCGGAAAGCGAACAATGGCAATCATACGGGATACTGCAACAGCGCAAAGCATGATAGCTCACATTCCTGAGCAGCTAAATCTTGGTAAACGCGAAAATCTGTCAATAACACTACATGGCCGGTTAACACGGTTCTAGCAGTCAAGGATAACGAAGCTCCCGTAATGCAAACAGCTCCGTTCAGAAGAACGATATTTTGCTTGCAAAGGGAGGATTAGAGGCGCACA